TTTCTCATTAGCCGTCCATGCTATTGGTTAACGCCAAGAAAAATTGATGACCGCCACTGGGAGAATTACCATTCGGGGAACACAGAGGACTAGGAGGGGGGGAGTGTCTTCTCGTCGCGCTAAAGGGCACATCGTCTCATCGTTAATTTTTGTAGCCACAGGAGGTATGCATGAGGCCTTGAGTTGTCTCGCAAGGATAGCATTTTCCTCTTATTGGTTGACTAGTTGTGGTTGTTCCTCAAAAAGAAGCTTTGTTTGCACATTTCCGAGTTGTCTTACGTTGGAAAAGTAGACCTAAGCGGAAATTGATACTTGATCCTCAGAAAGGAAACAATTCACAGCAAACAATTGCCTCTGCAGTCCACCACACATACAGGTAGCAGTGTTTCGGGGTGGGGGTGGGAGTAGGGGCAAGGTGGTGCGTAACTTAGACGGGTGGGGTGGGCGGCGGTTGGCGGATTGTCGAGCCATAACCGATGACACGTTCGTTCGCATAACGGGAGTTGGAATGCCAAGGCCGTATCTCATCATGGTCTGGTCAGTCAGTCAGGTGGGCGGGCAGACAAGCAGGCAAGCTGCAGAAGTGCTCAAGTGTGTTGCACTTCTCCATTGCGTGCGTGAAAGGAGGGGCAAACAAATGGCTGGTCTTTCAACCCTATTGCCGCCTCTTAATGCATGCGGGAACCGATTGCCTAGAACCCACGATTTCCCCTTCTCACTTGATGCAGGCGTTAACAAATGGTTTCCTCACTCACATCAAATGTAGCTTGCGGGCCTTGAAGATACACTAGTCCCCAAGTCGGGGGCGCCAATAGCAATACGTAACGCCTCATCATTAGCACAAATAAGTGGTTTCCCTCACGTTGATACATCTATCTTCGGGCGATCCATCATCAGAATCAAATGCTTCAATTCACTTCGGTGTGGAAAGCACTGCTACACTGCACCCTTGACACGCCATACGACATGTTGTACGAGAAGCTTCTACAGCCTCGGAACCGAGTCGGATTCGGTTCGTAAAGCAGACAGGCCCTAGTCAGGTCCACCAAGTCTAACTGGCACTTTGTGATATAGTGGTTCAAAATAATAGGAAAGAAGTGCATTGCACAATGGAGTACCAATGGACTAGCGAGTATTTACGCTTTATAGTGTATCACAAGCAATCGCATGCATTTTACAAGTCTCTACTGGTTCCAACAAGTCATTGGAGTGAGTCGTACCAAAAACAGCGTGAATATTTTCAGCCATCTTATCCAATTTCTTCAGAAACTGCACCAGTTCTATTTGCCTCCATCCTTCAACCTTACACACATTTCAAATTAAGCGTTTGCATATCCTAATACAGACAATTAAGAGATGCTATGCTCGAAAAGAGGATACGAAAAGAAAGTGTGAATTCAGAGATAAAAACTGCTAAGCAGCTCCACTGGGAACGCACGTGACGACGATCCCAACTGCTTACTTATTGTACGGCTTAGGCAAGCAGTTAGCATTGCGTCGCATCCATAACTCAAAATCCACTTATTTGCCCATACTGTTTCGTACAAAATAACCTACTGCAACAAAACGTTACAACAGTCAACTTACTAGAGCTCACATTCTCATAAGTTTGCGCTCCCTATGTACCAAAAAGTAGGAGCCACTAATAAGTTACGATTGTGTGAAGATTTTAATACATAGCCGACTTTTGGCAGATATGAAACGCTATCGTAAAAGTATGGAATAATAGCACTTTACAACACATAAATGATACCTTTCCTTGGGTCCAACTTTTACGCGACGACTTTTGCAATTAGTATTTAAAATCCAGACTGAATTAGCGCTCAATAACCACCTTTTAACTGAATAACATCAAAAACTGAGCCTTTCACTCACATGAGTTCAATGTACCAAAAAAGCAGGTTGTACAGTAAACTACTTCCATGAACGCACAGTTGACAAGCGTTTATTCGCTTAGCCATCGGAAACCTTGGGATAGCAAAAAAAGAATAAATTCTCGAATTAAGTTTAAATTAAAGTTAATCTTTACGATACGCAACTTAAAACGATTAAACGAAGTCTGATAATGTTGAGTGAAACAAATTTCAGGCTTCATGTCTCGAAACTGCGCTGTAAACTCAGTTTCAAATGTTCCCATAGAATGAAAGAATGCTACAAACAGCATTTGGAAAAAGAGATTTGTTGGTTTTATTGACAAAACCAGCTATTTCCCATTAAATATACCAAAATAGAGTGGAAGTGGGAGGAGACAGAGGCTACCACCACAATCGAGAGGAGACAGTCACTGCTGCGACTGGTTGGCGGTTACGGGACGCTGGCCCTGTTGGTGTGCGAATCCTCGATGCTTCGAATTGTGGTTGGTGCCCAGCTCAAAAGCAGGCGGTGCCTCGTTAATGAAGTAGTCAACAATAGTCTGAAGAATACGACCTTCCATGTTGGAGGCGTCCCAGTTAGTCGGGCCTGGGTAGCGTACCTTCTCGTTGAGCCACCTCTCCATACAACGCTTCAAACTCTGTTGAGGGAGAGTGCAGGATTAAATACTTGAGCCTTCATTGATTAAAGTTGAGCCAAAGCTCCTTTAATAAATACCAACCTTCCATAAACGAAATAGTTGTTTCTGTTGCATACTACATATTTATCTATGGTCTGGAAACAAATCTCTGAATGTGACCCATATTCATGATGGGTGAGACGGAAGAAAAGGAAATCAGGTTTAATAGGAGATAAACTCCGATGACGATTTGATTGAGGGAAAAAACATTTTAGCAGAGGTGTAGCTTAGCCGGCAATAAAATTGTACTAAGCGAAAGCCCATGTTATTTCAGAAATGTACTTTCAAACTTTATCTAATTTGCCCTTTTTGAACTAGAAAAGGCCAAATTTGTTGCCATAACCGTACAATCTGTAGGTTTTATATCAGAGCAGATTGTCACATTGAAATTCACTGAGGGAACATTGTAAACTGATGCATAAAATTTGGCAATTAGCAAAGCCGTAATGGCCACCTCTTCAACAGTAGAAATGAATGGCATTTTAAGAAATGCAAATTTCATCTGCACTTTTGCTAACTTAGTCTTCGTTAGCTCGCAGCCCCAATCAAACGGAAAGCTTGTTCCTAACGTTCGGTGGCGATTCATCACGTGCCTACCAGGGTATTGCCTTCATTATTAAAAGATTTGTGCCTGCTTTTTGTTCTGGACCTAAGAAAATAGCCCCAAATTTATAAACCAAACAACTAAAATGGACTAACTCACCTCTACGAGTTGCGGCACGCGAGGACCTGACTTAAATTTTATCCAGTCGTCCACCACGAGGGTTCCACCATTAACCGCCTAGAAGACGAAAAAGACTGGACAGTGTGCACCGTGTAGACGCATCGACAAATGGGACATTTGGCCCTTCAACAGCATCGGTTTAGATGTCAAAAGTATCTAGACACACGAGCACAAACGGCATAGATAAAGAGGAAGAGGATGGACCATGAATACTGGATAACATATATACCGGAAACATCCTCCTTAACTCTTGCGAAGACAACAAAAATGAAGATATGTTGCTGTGCTTACGGAAAAAGACAAGAACGCATACGTGTGTGCTCAACCGTTAAGTCGTGGCAAACGGAGATACTGTAAATACAGTTCGACTTCACTGCTCTCTCGCCTACACCAATGGCATGACAAATGGGTCAGACCTACCACAGATTCTGACATGTTTGCATTTCTCGTATGAAAGCAACTAAAGGAGTGTATGTACGCATGGAAGAGAGCAACTGATGAAATACAAAACAACTTGCAGGAATGCATTCACTTCGTTTCCAAAATGTTAATTAAACTGAAGTAAAGACCGAGGAATTAACTCAAAACCGGAGAAACAAAGCTAAACAGTGTAGCCGCCACAAACAGTGGGAAGTAACGCTCTACTTCTAAATTACGCACAGAGCAAAGGTGGCCTACAATTGGCAATACGCCCATGAAATAAATTACAAATTTAGGCATCATTTCTGACCGGGGAAAAGGTCCACTTATTTTTCGGTAAAATTTGGTGCACTGCCTTAAGAACGGTGAAGAGACCAATTAAGTGTTGGGGAGTGCACATTTGGTAACGCTAGTATTTCATGCAGCGATCTCCCATGCGACATACAGAAAGAGATGCGGCGCACAAATGACGTCCCACAGCAGCCCCAAAGAGCTGTTTGAGACTCACAGGATGACCAAACGTATCCGGTATCCCTCCATATTATTTTGTGGGAGTGGAAAAGAATAGATTCAACTGAATCACACAAAACAGGCTCTAATACCAGGGTAGGATGAACTGCGTTTCTACCATATAAAGTGGCATGGGAAAGAGATGGCCGACTGAAGTGAGCTAAATAAACATGCGAATAATGAGAGTATAAATAGTTTGATATCAGAGGATCAGCAACTATGGGCCTTATTGCTAAAATTCAACGAATAATTAAATGGGCGATGTCTTCAGGGGATTAAAGTGTACTATTTTTAAAACCCCTAGCTGTGTTAAACACCGCCTATTTTTAGGCGGCTTAATGAAAGACAGGCTTAGCAACTAGTGAAAAAGTGAAGACAAAAATAACAGCTCCCTAAACTATTTGTGTAACTACAAAAAGGCAAAAATCCCAGACGCTGGACATGGGATAAGGTCCAACAAGATTAGCAGCATAAATGTTTCAGCGAAGGGTAAGTAAAACGTGATGTTACCAGGAAGGTTAGACATGTACAAAGCCTGTTCTAAAAAAGGCAAAAAACATGATGGGACACTTTTCGGAAAAAACCGAAAAAAAGGAACGTGGTGTATTTTGCCATTGTAAAGCACCAAGCCAAAAACGGAAAGTTTCGTGTAAATATAACTTATTTTAAACAACGAAACTGCAATAAGAAGAAATGTTTCAGGCATGGATAGGCACCATTACAAGGACGCTGGTTTATCTACAAAAAAAGGAGTTTTGAGGATAAAGGGACAATGAAATCGAGGAAAGGGATCACCTCCATGCCACGGAGACAATAGTGCAAGGGCATGATCGAGGACATGAGTTGTGAGATCATGTTGAACGAACGCAGTTCTTGTGTTTCAAGGCCTTACTAAGCTAAACATACCTGGGAATGGGAAATTTTTGAGGAAAAGAAGACCACCGGGCGTGCATTGATCAAAGTTGAGTCGAATACCGTGGGCGCCTGGAAACATAAATACAAAGACATTAAAATGAACCACTGAAATGGTTTAAATATGCCAAATCTAAGCAACAACTTCGCTTTTAAATGTAAGCGTGGATATAAAAAGTCGAAGCAAATCAGGGAAATCCGAAAAGAGGAGAAACCTGGTGTGACATGACAAGCAACGTCCCCATATTGATTGAGCGGGATTTGTCATGGTTAAAGGATATCGTAAAAATTAGAGCAAAAGAGGGTGAAGACCTTAACACTCAAAGGCTATTTAATAGTCTAAAGTATGACCGATGAACGGTAAATTAGATTCACTCATCGAGGCAATCTTCACAAACAGCAGCTAAAATGACTATTGTGGTCGGATAATTTGGCCAAAAACTGGACTAAAAATCGAATATCCGAATCGGCCTACCTAAATCACCAAATATAATAATAACAGAGGATCGAATTGTAATATTTTGTTCGCAAACAGAATTCTAAGAGTACTAGTGTAAAAATAAATACCAGATGTAGTTAGAAGTAGGGTAACAAAAGTGACGAAAGACAACCCCTCACCACTTCCGCTCTGCCAAAAAAGAATACCCATTTTCTCTGCCAAATATGAAAATATTCAGCAGCTTTAAAAGTGATAGCATAGTTCTACCATCATGTTTGCAATAAAACATAGATTGTAATAGGTTTAACAGGAATAGTCGGCCGTTCGTCCTCAGGAGAGGAGTAATCAGGTCATGCAGTTGGTTGGTCTTCAGTTATTGCATTTCAAAGGCCAGGACCTCGCTCAAAAAAACACGGGAAATTAATTTTAGGTGTATGGTCAGAGATAGTTAATATAACTTACTTTTACATAAAATTAAGATGCTACTAACAGAGAACACAAGACAAATAAAGGAAAAAACTAATGCTTCCATTGATGTCTAGATAGAAAGTTCCGGCATTCAATAGACAATTATCTTACCGAAGCAGGACGTATGAAAACAAAGTATATTCATTCAGAGCACGAAGCAATTCGGACCTTAAGGAACTTTGAGTTATTAAAAAAAAGATTTGAACTTCGCAGCGATCCACTTGTCGTGCTCTCATAGGTAATTTAAAATGCATTCACGCAGTTAAAATAAATTCCCAAGACAGTTAACTAAAAATTTATCATATTTTTAAGGAAAGCAGTAGAAAGGGCCTGGTGTTGTTAAGTTGACCGACGTGAGAGGCCACTATTTTCCAAGAAAACCTGGCTAAAAGCATAACTAAGGGAGAGTCAAAGTCTTGACTTCATGAACTCAGTTATTAGCCTCTATTTACTCCACTAGCAACACTTTCATTCAATGGAAATGAAGTTTCGCGTGTACATTGAGAATGTTCAGTTGCTGAAATTTAAAAAACAAAACCTTAGGAGAGTTTGCTAATAAGGAATTTAAACACATCAGTGGCATAAAGTCACTTCTACTGCGTTTACACCTCGTTGCATATAAGAACAAAGTCCGTCAAGGGAAGTCAACAATTCAATTGAAATACTATTTTTGGCGACCAATCTTGAATGTACCTACAGGATGGGAGTCGAAAACAGCTATACTAAAAAGCGGTATGGTTTGCTGATCATACTCCTGTCTAAGTAACGCGCTGAATGCATGCACATAGTTAGTTGGAAATTCCAGGTCACCGCAAGCGCTACAAAAACGTTAGTACCGCAAAAAACTAAGCAGCAGTAGAGTGCAGCATAGAACAGGCTTTTAGCAACTAATTATTCGAAAGGGAAAAGAAAGTGATGCTGCATGGAGGGATTGCCCATCGCGGTCAGTCACCTTCATATTACGATGCCTTAGCTAACGAATTCTTAATAAGCGGAGCTTTTACATCCAAAAGGCCCATGAATCATCTGCTTCATGCAGTACAAATTCAGGCATGGAGGTTTAAAATTAATGATTTCATTTGCAGGAGGAACTTTGTACGTATGTCGGTTTTCGCACCTTTCCCATTTAAACTGTTTAGGACCTATATAGTATTGACAATGCAGTAGGTTATCAGTGCCAGTAGAAACAGGAACAGTAATTGGAGTTTACAAATTGCTATGGAGTGTAAAGGTAGAAGGCAGAAATCGGGTTTCAAGATAAGCTATCTGATAACCACTCACGGATTCCAGTAGTGCTTTTCGTAATTTACAAGCCCAGTGAGGATATGAAAGTTTGGATGTGGATTTAAAGCTGCGAAGGACACTCACTGCGTCGTGATCAAGTTTCATTTTCTGAAAGTAGGTGAGCCAGAGGCGGTTCTGCGGTCGGACGAGCGCATTGACCGACTTGTTGTGCAGAGTCACCTTCTCGTCCATCAAGGGAGTGGTGATGAACGGCGTAGGTGGTGCTCTACCAGGGCTACACAAAGCGATAAAAATAGGACAGATTACACACAATATTTGCGACAAACAGGTAAATTAACGAATTCCTCAATTCTTATTTAACTGTCTAACCGGGAGAGAACGAGTAAATACTACCCCATAATAAAATTGTATTAACATAGAGACGCCCCAATTGGTCAAAGCATCGCTTACGTAGTGGAACGTTATTTGCATTAGTTGTACATTTAACTACACGAGTCGTTCCAATCTCCCACGATCTGGTCTCCGTGCTGCTGGCATGGTGCTATGCTCAGTCCACCTATACTAATAGTCATCCCGATCATGGACGTTAATAATAAAGCCACTGGAACAGTGAACCGGTTAAGGTTTTTGCAGTCATCCAAACAGAAAGACAAATCCGCTTTTCATTGACTGGATACCATGATAAAACGTCACAAGAAGGCATCTACTGTGGATAGTCATTTTCGACAGATTCACAAAAGAAGACTTATTGTAGAGAACTCGACTTTTGGCCACTACCTTAATGCCAAATCTAGTGCAATGGCTAATAATGAAGCGAGGCTAGATCAAAAAATACATATATCGGAATTGTCTCGACGGAACTGCTTGTAAGAACGTTATGAATGATCGATGTTCGTGATCTGAATACCATATAACAAAGAATGAGAATAACCCGAATGAGCGGCTGGATAGCATTAAAATGACAACATTAGAGAGGATGAATGAACGCAGAAAGCACCTCGGTAAAGCTACTTTTAATCGCACATCCTATTAAACATTTTTTGCTTTTAGGGAAATTCTCATATGAAACGGCAGTTGGCAGACAAAGTCCATCAGAAAGCATCATTTTGCCTTAGATATGAACGGTAGCTACAATACATCCGACTACATTGAGGTAGATGGAATGAAAAAATGACTGAAGACATCTGCCCACTCTGCACTTGTTGTTAGTGCACGATTGAATATGCGAGCCTCTCCAGCCCACCTCGGTTCGGTTACCGCACTAGTGAAAGGCAACAATGCTAGCGTCGCCCATGATAAAAGTCCCTTATCCCTCCTATGCATCAAATGTAAAAAGACATCCTGATTGCAACGTTGTATAACATATACGGAGGAAAGTGGAGGCCTACTAGATCGACTAGCGAATTAGCTGACTCTCATTCGAGTTTGCGTACCCAAAGAGAGGGGAAGGGAGAAGAGTAAATGCCGATGTGCAAGGGAAACTCATTAACGTGGAAAGTGCATGACGCCTCAAACAATCACTAGCAAAGTCAATAAGGTCTTCCTCCAAAAAGCGTTTTGGTGACGAATTTTATCCTGCACCACGAGTCGTATATAATGACTTAAAGAATTAATAGGGAAAAATAGGGAAGGAAGTGGAACATTATAGCTTCCCGATTGTTTGATGTGAAGTACATGGTTGTTGTACAACTCTGGTGTGATGCTTTGATAGTTTGCTTAGCTTTGTGTTTGATTACGCGGGAACAGATCGTACTTCCGCTCGGTGGCATGGCCTGTGGATCATGCAGGTAGCCTTTCAGTCCTTTTGCATGCTAGTAATGTATTTTCTGGCAAACTACTTCAGGAAAGCCTCGAAACGCTACCATAAAACAAAAACGCAAGTAAAACACAAGTCAAGCGACCCTCTAAGAGTATTAATGGCAACCTTCAAAAAACAACACCTCATAAATATATTTCACATTAGGATCCAAAAAAAAATAACAAGAGCTAACAAAATTGCTCCTAAAACTTTGGGTACAGATAATCACGATGAAATAGTGACTTTAGGCGTAAAGTTAAAGAACACGGACATCACCAGCTGATCTAACATTAAAATAGATAAATCCCGAAGGCCCCAGATCGTGGATTTCAGAACCTACTACCCTCTGTTTCACACTATGTAATAAATAACACCAAGAATGTGAAGGACTGTGATATAGAAAGAAAAATCAGTGGAACTCTGCCCTATCAAAGACTCACTTTGTTCTCCGAGCAGTGGCCATGATTAAATTGGGGTAGAATGCGCCTGCAAGGATGGCGCGGAATATTCGGACGTCGTGAGAGTAGCGATTCGCCTCCACCTCGTCCATGTCTCTGGATTTGATGTACTTTCGTTCGTACAATAGATCCACAAACTCACGCATCAAATGACACAGGTCCTGCATTAAAAAGTGCAGCGAACAGACAAATAGATCGTTGTGATAAATATACTATGGCTACTTCTAGCTGCAAATTCGACTAAATTATGCCATGAAAAAGTCATTGGCTCGAATTGGAAAGACTTAGAACCCATAAGAGTAATTGGAATCGTTCTGTCGAAACATTCTCATATTCTAATCAATAAGGTCAGAGATGGCGAAAAAAAGTGCCAAAGAGGGCACAGAGCAGGACTGTTGAAGTGGGAATGACTAGTAATACTGGAGCTTTTAAGTTAGTAAAGGAAATGGGTCTGTTTCGCAACAGCAATGAAATCAAATGTCACAATCCAGTATCCATGACAAAAGAGCGCGTTAATTCATCCGGATTTATCATCTCACAAGTGTGAGTACTGTAAACAAAATGAAAGAAATCCAATACTTACATCCATTGTTCGTCGATTTAGGAAATTCTTCCGACAATAACCATATTTCTCATGTTCACGCAATCCCAAGTACTCCTAGGCGAAAAAATATGCACTAGTAACTAAAGCCACCCATAAATTAGCAACTCTGTAGAAACAAATTAATAATTGTAAACTCGTAGTGACGCCGTGAACGGGCTCCAGGTATTAAATGCATTTACAAAGAAGGTACCAGAATATCTCAATGCTGCTTATTTACTGTACATAAAGTGCTTTCAAATATGGCAGTTAGAAATGAAGAAACTCAAACGCTTCACCACTTGCATATCGAGTCGACAAATTTATTAAAGAAACCCCAACGACAACTGTTCCTTCTCACTTGTTTGCGCAATGTCGGTGACAAACCATTTGAGACCATAAAGTACAAAACGGAAAATAATTACTTTCAAACTAAGTAGACCAATAGTCGTAAGTGCAAATGCCTAAGAATGTATTGAATACACCTACGAATATTTTTGATTTGGTGTGAAGTTTGAATGTGAAAATACAAAAAATGACATTACTAAAGCACCGACAATTGTGAAACAAGTGTCACACAATGGGGTACTACGCCGTTCTAATTGACTAACAATCTGGCGACGTTCGATGCATCTGGACGCACTTCAAGGCCATGGGAAATAATGTCGACAAGAAATATGTATCGAAAATAAGCCGGATAATAACGAGACATTGAAATATCTTTTTTCGCCCCCTAAAAATTGTTTTGCATTGACTAAAGCGCGCAATCGTCTTGGCAGGCAGATTGAAATTTCGCAACAAAAAGTACAAACGAGCAAATGCTTGGAGGAAAATGTGCATTACTTTGAAAGAAAACCCACTCCCCTTCATACTAAGATATTCGAATAAATAAACACGAAATCACTATGAATATCAGACAATATCATTAAAAACTTAACGGCATCGTGCCCCCAGGAAGCTATTTTTTAGGAAATATTCGGAAATATTAGTGGCATGTTTCACAAATCTGAAGCAAAGCAATAGGTATTCCTGTATAGACTTGAATCCCATCCACAACTAAACATTAGCAAAATGAAGTTATTTTTAAGCATACAATTTTAAAAAAGTCCAAGAGTTGGAGCAATACTGGAAAAGTTAGCAAAGCGCGGTCACCGTGCCATGGTTCTCCGTGAAGATGAGAGTGAAATGTGTTTAAAATTCAAATGACATGGGTTTGGATTTACGCAACTTTTTTTGAAAAAGGCACTACAATCCGGTGCTGCAGCACAAAAGTCCACTGAAAATCGCAGGTGCCATTTCGTTACACTGAACGATGATTCCGAGGCAGGGCCATAGCGTACGTGATACGGGAAGTTCTAATTGCCACTATTTTGGCTAAAAGCACCACCTCACTGTCTGCAACAGGAAGTTAGCTCTGCTGCAGGAAGCTGGAAAAACTAGCGTGTGTAAGGCAGCAAAATGTCAGTTATTTTTGGGCGTGTCTTCCGGCGAGAGCAAAGAGATAACGCACATGTATAATCCACAGAGTAGCCAAAGCAATTCTCAAATAAAAGTTGGAGTGATTCAGCATTTGCAAACAGTCCCAGCACCTATTTTACGGGGAGAGGGATAAAGAGGGCGAAACACATGCTTGCCAATTTTTGTACACACCTCCGTTACTCCCACAGTTGCCAGAACATATCTTCGAAGTGTAAAAATAAGCACCGAGTAGCGGTAATACTAACTGATGCTTCATTAATAATAATCCACCTAAACAAGACGCATTTTGACACTCCAGTTGAGGAAAACTTGACTCAAAACAGAGCCAGTAAATATTCCGAAGATAATTCAAAAAAAGGTCATAGATTAACACTAATCTTTTCTCCAAATGAAGCTTGCATGAGTGCCAAGGGATTAAGCAGTCAAGAGAGGACTGACCGATAGGGCAACGTAGAAAGCCCAGTGGTCGCTCTGGGAGCCTTCAGTGAGCTTGATGCGACATGCGTCGGCAAGAGCCTCGGAGCCGAGGGGTACCTCAAAGGGCTCCTTGAAGGCGAGACAGGCGGAGACGGCGAGGGCGGGCTTGAGACAACAGAAGAATGCGCCGAGGAGGAGCAGTTTAGCACATTGTGGGTCCAACGGCAGGTTGGCCAAATGATGGCCCAGTGGTGTGAGCACGTCGTTGTCTTCCGCCACTGGTGATCCTGACGTTGCAGCCTCAATGGCGCCCTCCAATATGCGAGTGCGCTGTCGCTTCGACATGCGCGATAATTGAGCCGTGGGCACGGAATCATTGCACAAAGGGACCAAGGGTTTAAGCGCTTGTATATCGCGAAGGAACTGCAGGGTACGACTAATCGTCTCGAGGTCGGGCGGATCCATACAGCTGGAGAGGAAACTTGTCACTGGACCTAGTTCCAGAGCCTGCAAGTCTCAGGGAAAAATCGTACACTGCACAAAACAAGCAACATAAGGCATTTACACCGCACATTGGGTAATAGCCTATTTAAATAAATAAGAATCCCAGGCTCTATAGGGATAATAGGAAACTGTTTGCCTAAATCAATCAAGGGTGGGAGAAGGTGCACTAGGGAGGATGCAAAGAACGCCAACAAACTGATGAAGAGCACACCTTGATCCGGAGGATAGCATCTTCCAGACGGATGCGTGTAATTTCAGGCGGGAGGAAGTCTAGCATGACCCGATCGTGAGTAAATCTGGAGAACAAGTGGAAGCATTGTCCGGGACGAACTCTGGAAGAGAAAGCACGGTAGTAACAAGAAGAGGACACTGATAAAGCATAATTCCAATGATAGGCAGTAATCTAAATTCGCCACGTAGAACACGTATTCAAAATGACGTGAAATACTTTTGCTACCTATTTGATTGTAAAAAAGTATTGACGCACCCAAAGTATAAACTTTCAATCGGAATAAACAATACCCGGGTTGAATACCCCATTTAGACGTCATTAATTCAAAGTATTTTGAGTTGTTTATTGAAGCACTAATCGAGAAAAACGGATAATGTGTTAATAATACTGTGCAACATGAAAGACAAAAAAATCGCATTCAACCGTCGCACAGATGATTAATTTCCTTAAATAAACAAATTAAAACAGTCAAAAAATAGGAGTTTGGTTAATTTTTGAAGTATTGGGCGGGAATTATGCCTAAAAACAGTCTTTTGCATAGTCAAATTATGAAGCAAAGGAACAGGAACACATTGATTAACAAAATAATGGTAAGCGGTTGGTGACAAGGCAAGGTCAAGGTCCTTCTAACTTTTCTAGTATTGTTTAACTGAGGCAAATGAAAGCACGTTACCAAATCATAAAATCGTGCTGCTGTTTTTGTTGCATGCATTATTGGTTAAGCACTAATTCATTGCCAAACAGTAATAGGTAAGTATTATAGGCCAATACCATAAAAATCCTATTCTACCAACTAGCAAATAAATTACACAAAAGGTGGATTCGTGGATAAAGACCAAGATCCAAACAAGAAGAGCGCCTTCGATCCACCAGGCAGACTCCGGAAACTTCGGAACCGAACTTCTGGGTGAATATGATCTTTGAGGAGAATAACATACGACTCTTGCGGAGTTAAACCGAGTATCGTAATAATCAGAAAGTCTTCTGATGGAGACATTACATGAAACCGGAGCCTAGAGACAACATCAAACAACCCTCCTTGTTTGCAATCAGCTTCTGGATTCTTGGGTTTAAAAATATACGAACTACCATTTCGCGGACGGGAGAAAGATATGGATAATAAATGATTAGCAAGGAGCAAAGTCATCGGAGAGGAACAGAAAGCCTATGGTACCAACAAAAGGATTGCCAAAGGCTAAAAATTTTAACAGGTTTACACAGCTGAGGACTTACTTCAGACACGGAAAAAAAACCAAAAGTTAATATGCATGCATGAACGAAACAACCCTGCCCACACTGTGTGAATACCATTGCTATAGCCCTATGGCAAGAAGTAGACATCACAATCAACTGAGGCGTCTTACAAGGGAACTAATCATTGGCAGTTGGAAGGAGAAACATGAATGACATCCAAGGAAGGTAGAACAACCTTGTGAGGTAGTACTGAATGGTAGTGCCTGGTTATGAAACTTAAATATTCCCCACGGAAACAGTTTATTAATCACTTTTGACACAAACTCACAAAGTTGGGATCGCATGAAATGAGCTGATTGGAACACTAGCTGAAAGCAAGTATATGGCAAAGTACAGGGACTAAATTACTTTGTTTTCATAAAAAACCGCCTTCGAAAATTCGGCCAACCACAACTCATGATAGGATGAATTCAAGATATGAATAAAACTAAACCGGTCAGATTCAGAAAAGCATCTCACCTGCTCCAGGTATGTATCAAACGAAATAGCCGGCATGATTCCACTTCATATTTGCGGCACGAGTAACTTATTTAAAAATAAAAACTCCGGCATTCGCGGAATTTATAATTCGTGTGAAAATGTGCTTGACAATGTCTCAGTTTACAACCAAAAGAACGATGGCAGATATATGAGATGCCCTTAGCAAAACTATATTGAAGGAAGGGGAGATAAGGGAGCAATATGAACGGCAGAAAAAGCAAAAAGGAGTTCAGAGGAAATAATAAATCACGGTACTGAATAAGCAAACTGAGAGTTCAAACCGGAAAAAAAGACCACTGATGTGAAGCACTATAAAGGATTAAAGAGCCACTTGGCTATCACCCAAAGTGATTAACTCCAATTCGCATGTCCAGATCAACCTTACAGGGAAGTGAAATTTCCTGTTTCAAGCAGACTGCACCCAGCGGAGGTAGCTAATTTGAATTCCGATTGCAATCATTTCACAAAAAAGGCCTATTGCATTGAATAAAGTTGCGCGTAGTGTACGACTGAATATACAAAATGCACTTTCAAGCCCCATAAAGCGTTTTATTCGCATCTTAGTGATAAAAACCAAAAGTACAGGGACTACAAAACATCCTAGAAAATAGTCAAACCAACTGAGATTTTTTGGAAGATGAGAACGTTACAGACTAGTGCGGCAAAGTGGCAGGCTAGATGGAAAATCCTGATACTGGTAGATGATAAATGACATAGACGCTAAACCGCAACAGCGATAGTGCGCTACTCATGTGTGCATAGGCAATCAAGCAATGTAGCGCATGCATGCATAATCGCCCATGCATGTATGCGCATATTCGCCTATTTTTGAGGAAATCACAAGCTGGAAGAAAGAGTTGTTGTTTTCTAATAAATTTTCATCAGCTAAAAGAGCAGAATGAAGGTCTATTGGGAAAAATAAACCGTAAAAAGCAGTTGAATATTTAATTGACTAAAATTCCGGTCAGTCAAGAACAGGAAAAAAAACACCCATTAAAGGTAGAAATGGAAGCCTACCTCCGGCTGTATTCACGACAATACAAATTTCAAAACACTCTGATGAAGTAACAAAATTCAAATGCTACAGATGACGCCCGATACCACTTCATATTAATGACGGCCCAAATGTGCATTTCTACTAAACTATCACGAATTTTACTCATGAAAATATAGTCACACTACCTAGGCAGTTGGCGTTGCAAGGGCGTTTGAGCTCGTTGGAAAAAAAAACTGGCTTACCGACCAGCCCGACCACGCCTCTGGGCTGCATTGGCTTTACTCACGAGGACACGCGCAAGTGTGGATGTGTTGGTGCGCGGATCGTAAGTAGTGATCTTTATCTGTCCACTGTCCACCACGTACACTATATCCTCGATTGTGATACTGAAAGAGAACGCCATAGGTATGTAGAACATAGTGCCATTTGAACCATTGCATTTCATAGCTCTGATAAATTAAGGGAAAAAAAGTACTGCTGCAATTCTATATACTGAACTAACAGCCACATGAACGATTTAGTGATAATTTACTATCCGATCTGTCAGATTATAGTCACCGGTGCTCATAGTGATCTGCTCAAATAGACAAGAGCCTATGGAGTCCCAAAATGTTATAGAGAATTGCATTTTCACACAGTCCACTCAGAAAAGAAACAATGGAGGTAAATGACAATAGCAATACAGAGGCTAAAAACACTTGTAACACAGGGATCATAATATAACATCATAATTGAGAAAACAAAATACTGGTGGAAAAATGAGAAAAAATGATTTAAACAAAGGGAGGGATCCTTAAAGAGCCCTATCGTGAGTTATGAAACATCCGTTTGTGCCGAACGTCTGTGTAGCTCAGGTAATGAAACCCTACGCAGTTTACGAGCAGGCTTTCAGTCTCCCGGCGCCGATCCTAAAAAGTGGGCTGGTGGAGACACGCCCTTCAGCAGGACCGTTAAACAAAAACGCATAAGCGTCGACGAACGCAAGTGTATACAATCTGTGTTGGCATCTAGGGGCCAATAATAAGAATTGAGAAGTGACAAAATGAAAATTCCAGCGGCAATTTAAAAAGGCGCACAAAATTAAGCACAACAAAGAGGACAAGTAAAATCGCTTTTTAACGACAAGACAGCTAGAGTACACAATTTTTCGGTACTTCACAATATACGGTTATTTAGCTACTATAAATTTGCAGTATCGCTGGGTATATTTCTCCTATGGAAGGATTTGAAATACTTACCCGATTTACGCTTTGTGTCTAACCATAAATTTCAACCAATCGAACAGGTTTACACCACACAACACAGTTCAACCCGTATTTATAAATTTCAAAAATCAACAGCTCGAGATTACAAAATAAATCGAAAGCTCTACAGACAATTAGATTTAAATCCCCAAAAATAAGTTCAGGTTTTGAAAATGAATTTTATTCGGAAAATATAGTGGCCATATGCATCTAAAAATAAGTAGATTGTAAAATACAGAGAGCTTAGGACTTTCCTCAATAGCGCTTAAATTGAGTTGATTATTCAGCGTACTTTCTTTCGATTTTGCTCTGTATCCTGACCCACGCCGCTACTAATTGAACAGAAATGCTGGATATAAGTCCAGAACAAATTTTGCATTACTACTTTCGGATATGAGTAAACAAATCAGTCAACAGAATGGAAATTACTACATATGATACAATCTCAAGCCTCTGAAAAAGGATCACCCCTCAAGCAAAGGCTGAATTCATTAAAATCAACCCGGTAGTTAACAAACCCTTGTACACTAAAAAGTTTATTTTCCCGGTTACTATAGTAGGAAAATCATCGCTTCATGCTTAAACGGAATGAACACATAGAACGATGAATCAAGTTACGTAAACAAGAGCGGGAGACTCGTTATTCAAAACACAAAATGCATTCTTCTGTATCAACTTGAAGTTAGCACTAAAAATTAAAACACATCAGCACCAACGAACGGCATACAGTTTTTTTTATTTTTACCACTTAAAACGTTGAGATTGGTGGTGGGCGGCAATGTAATAGGTGGTAGATATTCTCGCTGACCGGAAACAGTTTAAGACCAACGTAATCCCCCTGGTAATAGTAGAATGGATAGCGATGAAAATAAAACTTTGCAAAGATGTGGGAGCCAGTCTATATCTCTTACAAAGCTTGAGGGAAGCGCATGAAGCTTGTAATGTGCTTTAGTCCGATTTTTGACAATTCCGCCGAAACTGGAGGATGCTTCGAATGCACAACTCCACGATGGTCAAAAACAGGAACCACAGTCAGACAAAAAAGGAACGAGAGACTGAAAGGGAGGTTTACCTAGTCTCGGCGATGTTAGTGGCGATGACGACCTTGCGCTTGCCGGCGGGGGGAGGCTCAAAAACGACGCGCTGGCGAGCGGAGGGGAGGCGGGAGTGGAGTGCGTGCAGCATCACTCCGCCCCGCGTCTCCGCGTACAGCGCTGGGTCAATGCTGCGCAACGCCTTCATCGTATCCAAAATGTCCTACCCAGAGAAAGAAAACTTTATAACTTTCTTTACCAGTGGCCTTACCGCCACAGGTTACCACTACGGTTTTATCATTTCTGTTCTGGGGATTAAACTGAGGTGTAAAGGTGGGCTGGGGTTAATAGGGTGTAAGCAATAAAATAATTGTGGTGTCAGATCCATAATAGGACATATTAAACAGAACAAATCGCGGCAGAAACCGTACCAGGCACTTCCGATGCTAGCTTGGCTTCAAAGTTCAAGAACGAGTTACTTAAGATGGAAAATCCTTATATTGCACAATGTACTGTGGCGAAAGTTGTTAGCGGCAGTTAGGAACAAACGGCCGTTCGAGGCTAAACATTTTAACTTGACCCGACCCCGCAGAGAACGGAAATGATTTCTTGTCCCATTAAATTTCCATGAGTAAGGTCAAGTTATTTGACGACCACGGGGCTTGATATGACATTAACAAATCACGATTGAAAACTACCTAAATTATACACAATGATCGGAACTAATATTCCTAATAGAGTAATCATAAAATGGTAGGGACAAATTATCCAAGTTTGAGAACTGAACAGTGTGGAGCAGATTTAAATCAAGCCTTATCAATTTTGATAGTAAAGTAATTGAAGAAATTGGTACAACGAACACCGAGACCAGGCACGAAGGCGAGAATGGCCCCGGAGGAGGTGGTTCGGATGATGTAGTCGATGACTGCAGCCACCAGCTCAGGTGGTGGGCATGAGTAAAGGTCCATAGCCTCGAGGAATTGACGACTGCCTAGCGAGAGTCTAGACGAACAGTCGTAGAAAAATATTGCCATCGCAATTATTGTTGCAGTAAAAACGTCCTAACATTCAACACTTTAACTTCGGTATCCAAAATGCAACTGATTTTATGATAGGATGAGTGCAATAAATATCATTGAAGTTCTGTGGATTAAGAAAAACTTAATTATAAAGTGCTACTTTAACAGTATGAAGAACTAACGCTGACTAAAAAAAAGCCTTGAATAATTTAATCCATTAAAACAAAGGTTGAGAGGAACCCTAAAGTTTTGCACCTTCGATATTCGCTCCCTATAAATGGCAAGTGTCCTTTAAGAAAATATCACACCAAAATTTGTCTTGCTTTAAATCAAAGAAGCACCACCTTTGTTCATCGTATCACCTTGAATAACAATAAGAAGTTGACGAAGAACATGCAAAAATGAAATGGTGACCTAGAGGTGGATTCTTTTAACCACTGTTTGTAGCCCTGCCGGATTCCTGGGGTAATGGGCGGGTTGCCGACAGAATCAGCACGCATTTGGGACATACGTCGATTGGCTTTGCTGAACCTATACAGCGCATCCTGCGGCATTTCAAAGCTGAAGAAAAATGGAAAAAGATTTGCATAAACAATTGTAGCTATGGGAGATGTGCAAAGTGTGCTTGAAGGGAGCACCTTACCCAGTGCGATGGAGTACGTCCTCAAGATATAACGTGTCTACTGCGAACGTTCTACCAGGAATCTCCAGTCTCGGGCAACCGTCTAAAAAAAATGAAAATTGATAATAGTCGATGGTCCAGAAGACTACAAGAGATATTGTTTTTAACAGCGCATTGAAACTGGAAAATTGATGCATAAATCTTACCGAAAAATTGAGCGAATTCTTCCGAATTAAGGGTTGCCGACATGAGAATGACGTGAAGGTCAGGCCGCAAGGGGAGAATGCGTTTGAGCATGGTTATAAGAAAATCGCCAAGCATTTCTCGCTCGTGCACCTCGTCCACAACTACATGGCTAACCGACTAGGGAAATGGACTAACTGTCATTACATTTGCTTGCTTTGATTAAAATTCATGGCTATAAAAGGCTCTACTAGACGGTGCGATAAAAACTGCGCACATCTGACATAGAGATCAGATACATTTTAATTCCCTTGATGCAAAATCCTATTGACTATTTCTGTTAAAAAACAATAAACATTTATGGCTTATGATTTAAAGAACATTTTATCATGGTGCTTCAGTAATTGAGGCAACACCAGCATATCTAATGAAGCACCTCATTATTACAAAATTCCCCACAGAAGGGATCCGGAAATGGCCAACTTGAGTTGCATATGGTGGCCATTAAATAATTACACTAACATCGTCGATGAAATCACGGTTGGTTTATTTTAATCGGACCTTAAGGAGAGGGTCGGATTGGAACCACTGCAGGACTATCCCGGTAGTGCAGAAGAGGATGGAACTTTGCGGCCGCTTGGGTAAAACGGACTCCAGACGAATCTGGGGGAATAACACAGAAATATAAACAAATAGGACAATAAATAAATATTTGTTATTGGTATATGAACTGCAGCAAACTAGTTTGGGAATTTTAAGAGGCACACCTTGCTCTACTTTGTTTCATGTGCTATTAATTTTCAGACGGAGAAATAGAATTAAACAATGCCAATAACAACCGCAACCGATAAAGGCAACATTAATGGTAGTGAGAGCGAAAAGTAACAAACTGTAAACAAATTCCGTTTGGTTTTAAAGTAATGGAATTCACATTTAAGATTAAACAATCTAGGTTCCCGATCCCAGGGAGTGATTAAAGCCAATACCATTTTTCCTGGGAGGAACAGTGAAAGGGATATGCTTACCTGATACCCGATGTCTTCGCCCAGGCACTGACCCCGCTCCGTTGCCACCCGCTCGGCCACGGAGATAGCCGAAATGCGCCGCGGTTGGGTAACCACAATACGGGTGCAGGAGCCGTAACCCCGTAGTACCGCGTGTTCCAACAGGTACTGAGGCAACTGCGTCGTCTTGCCGCAACCAGTCTCACCGCTTATCACTACCACCTGATTTTCGTCCGACATTTTGAGGAAATCCTATCGAAAAAATGACTTATTAGCAATAGAACGCAAGGCTAGTGTGAACGCAGGAGGATGGCGCTATCACATCACCTGTTTTTGCGCAAAAGTCGGCAAATTCTTCCGTTTCGAATTCATCAACACGTATTTCGTCGCTTGGACTTTCTGAATCATTTCCAACCGAAGTGATTTGTCCAAAGCCTCATTCCTCTGCAGTTCTATCGAACATGGGGTTTTCTCGTTTTCCGCCCCAACATTGATTCGCGTACCCCCGAAGGCATGCTCATCCACCATCTCCACGACTTTGGAGAATTCCTCTTTGGTGGATGTAAGGCTCAGATGAGGGGACTTCATCTCACTACTCTCACTTGGTAATGCCCGTTTGCGGCTGATAAGACAATCACCTAAGCGTTCCACATCCTTGACAACTCCAGCTATTCGTTCGATAATCCTTTGATCGAGGGTAAATTCAGTCGGCTGGAAAAATAATATTAGTGCATTTAGTATAGATTTCCAATGGCTAATCCATTTGCACACATCTATCAAAACCTATAATATTCAGAGATAAACATACGGGTGAAGAAGCGGACAAATTTCGGTCAAAGTTGGAAGACATATAACTTAGGTGAAATCCCATCAATTGTGGCAATACATCAAAGCAGATGAGTTTGACGACGCGGTTGAGATCATTACAGATCCATCTAGACTTGAAAAATTACTCGAGCAGCAGCTAATGTTTGTAGCAGACGAAGGTTTCGGCTCCGCCCGTTCAAGAGAGAAGTTGGAGGGTAAATTGCTAGTTTTAGTGAGAGGCACCTGGAATAATGACGTTTAATTTGAATACCCAAAGTTGCCAATCTTATACAACGATTATTCGAAAAAACCTTATCGTTTTTAGCATGTAGGGCGAGTTGGAAAGATGAGATCCGATTTTGGGATGTGACCAAGAAATCTTGGACCTAACGGCAGTACTTTGCTGGGCTATGCTATGGTCAGTGGTAAATGTAAGAAAATGAAAGCAATTTGGGAAAACGACTGATGAATATTAGATTAGCTACATAGGACGCACTATCTAAATCAGTTCCGCTTAAAAAGACCGAATTCTGTGCAGACAATAAAGTCGCCCAGACCTCAAGTGAGCAAAATCGAGATGTTGCATTGCAAAAGCAGACCCTTTGCGGCTAGTCTTTTGACGGATATTCCTAACTTTCAATTGATAGCTCCTCTTGATTTCCAAATAGAATATTCCACCTATCATATAGCTTCTTTGAAATGCGTTTAACAAAACGCGCGCCTTAAGTGGTTCCCGCATATCGTCACAGCCGTAAGCATTAATGAGGACGATAAATTGTGTGTGTTGGCGAGCACTAATATCTACAAATTTGAATAAACTTATAGATATGGATGCATCGAGCAATTCAGTTGACACCGTGGCCAAACGGGGACGCCAAAAATTGGGGGCAGAAGCGTGCACGGATGTGAAAATGCCACAGAATAATTCAGCACACCGTGTGTGAGATAGAAAAATAAAAAATGCCACAGGCAACACTTTGATGAGACAGAAGAGCCAAATACTACTCAAGCAATGCAACCACCACACAAAATTGGGATACCATAATAGATCAATGCACCGAACTTCGAGAGCATTCCAGTGTCATTTCGAAAAAATTAGAGCCAAAGACAGCCAGAAAAAACCCTGGGGGGAAAAACCTTTGGTCTACAAACACAAACGAAGCATGCGGACCTACAGTAAATATTCTTACAGTAGGAACAGAAACTTGGAACGTAAACAAAGAAGTACTAAGATAATTAAAAAATACAGCCATCGTTAGCATGTAGATTTGTAAGAATAGCAAAATCCACCTTGCAAAGAGGCTAATGGTGTGATTAAAACAGTCATTCAAAAACATCAAGGAAGTGAAGATATGTACACAAATAAAGCACTTCACACCTCATCTAGCGCATCAGGTTTTTTTGCCTTCAATTTGTTCTGTCTGGCATACCATAGTCCAATTTCCTTTCCTTTAAGGTAAGGGGGACACCTCGGCATTGAAAATGCGTGATCAACGAGAGAGAACACGGGACCAATTTAAAACCGACGGCCAAGGTCATTATTCAGCAAAATACAGTTATAACTAGGATGTTAAGAACATGAGATAGAGGATCTTTCATAAAACTACGCTTAATAACAAAAATCACACACTAATATGATGGCAGGGAGCCCATTTTGCTCTGCCTGTGTTTGTATCATGTCAAGACCCACTGCATCAGACGTGGTGCTTCTACCAAAAGAAAAGTTTACTGCGCGTCTGTTTAAAAAACTTGCCTAAAAAATCAGAAGGCGCCCTGTAAAAGAGAGTAATAAAGGATGCAGAGGTGCAAATATCTTGTGGCAGGGACCTATATTGTAGAATAATATACAAAACATCGTGATGGATTAATAGCTCGGTTACCTTTGTGTTCATTTGCACCAAACATAATCATATATTATAAATAGCGCTTTTAGCAAACGTTTTTAGAGAAAGCTAGCAGCCCATTAGCCATCTCTATGTTATTAGTATATTTTGCCCTTTAATGCCGCGAAGTCACGCTACTTGTAGGGCGAGGCTCGTAGGTCTCCTCCTCCCTGTTCCTCGTACTCTTAAAACAACCAGGTTGGATGGATTTTGGCATATATGCTGAAAGAAGTGAATTGGGAAAACTGGTTTAGAGTTTAAGGGGGGTGAGGATCCGCAACCTTACTTGGGCTTTGAAGATCAGGTTTTAATCGTATCCCCGCCTCCTCTCTGAAGGGAACATTTAAACAATCTAAGTGTTATGTAGCCCCCTCATCCTTTCAGTACCGTCCCCGGTGCGACCACTTATAAGCTCCTCTCGAAATTCCCAACCGGTGGTTTCCTGTCGTCGGTTATGGCATAAATCTCATCTTCGTATTCAACCGGTGGTGACCCTTTGTAGAGTCTCATCCTATTTTGATGAACGGTTATTAGCTGGGTACGCAGTTGTGCGTTGCGAACGAGGTAGTTTGTAGTTGCGGGCGCCTTCACCACCCGAAATGGGTCCTTGTCCATGGGCGATGGAACTTACGGTGTGTTCTACGTGGGGGAACCGGTCTGTAAATTTGCACTAATTCGCCTTCTCAGGATACCTTCGTCTGGCTGTGTCAGTAGTAATAATTCTGCCTGTTATAAGGTAGCCGTAAATGCTTGCGTACTATGTTAAAATTTTTTCTTATGCCTTCTTTTAGGCACAGTATATACTCTAAAACATTATTGGCTGATTCGTCGGTGTTTGGCAGGAAGATGTCGGAAGGCACTCTCATTTAACTACCTGTGAGCATCTTAAACCGAGAAACACCCGTTGATGTATGCTTTGTGGCTCTATATGCAAAAAGAACACGCTCTAGCCTTCAATCCCAGTAACCTAGTTGTACGTCCTTAGTGAAGCCATTCAGTACTCCGATCAGGGTGCGATTCGTTCTTTTCACCTGGCCGTTGCCTTGCGGCCAATGTCTTTGAGATCTGGTAGGTCTCATATGGCTTCGTAAAGAGCCGGCTCTCAAGGTTAGGGCCTTAATTGCTCTGAACGAATTCAGGCACTTCATGCTGGCAAATCCACCTATTAAAGAAAATTGACGCAACCGTTTCAGCGTGTTGTGACTTCATGGGTTCTGCCTCAACCGCTTTCGTGGAGTAATCCATTTAACCAAAATATATGGGTTTTCCTTCTTTGTAGGTGAAAGAGGACCCGTGATATCTGTACCTACTCCTGCCCCTGGAAAACAGGGGGGCACGGGTTGTAAAGGTACAAGGGCTGAGGGTTTGGATTTTCGAAACCGCTGCAAGCAGTACAGTTTCGGCAGAAGTCGCGTATATTTGGGATGAGCGAAGGCCACCAGCATCTTTTACTCGAGGCACCTAGCATCCTCTTTTTACCCACGTGGCCGAGTTGCTCGTGTAACTCTTGAAGAAGTGTTTGCATTAATGAGCCAGGAACCACTAGATACCTAGGAGACTGAACACCCTCATAGTACCATAAAATCTCATCCTTCAAAGCGAGTCTTGACCAATTTTTTTAAATCCGTCTAGTTGTCTTACAGGCCGACTGTGAAGAAATGTGGGTAAGGCAAAGGCGGAAGAGGTAATAAAGGGGAGGACCTACAATATTAAGGCTACTTTTATTCGTATGCAATTCATAAAGTGCTATTTTAAAAATTGCCTAGGTTTAAAAAGCACTTTAATTAGGAAGGGTTTTTATTATTAGTAGAAGTTGCGCAACAAATGTATATTGATTTTTGCAGTAATTGTGTAGAAGCACAGCACTGAAAAAATGTCTCCCTAAGTTAAGGCAAGTGAAAGTGCATTACACACTCAATACTACTAACACTCTTATGCCTAAAAAGGTTTGATGGCCTACAGAAACCTGTACTTATGCAAACTTTTACTTGATGGCCAATTTTTCGTTTACGTAATCCTCCATTTCTAAAAATGCTATGTTTGCCCCATACGTTTCAGAACTTTAAGAAAAATTTGTTTTTGATATTTTTATAATATTATTACTTGGCAAGAATGCAAACTTTCTTTTTGTTGAGACTTTGTTTATACCAATCGCACGCTGAAGCGCGCCACTTGGTTCCGGTACCTGCTCATGCAGTTTTGTCGCCTTCGAGATTTTGCTCTAGGTTTTACTAAAGTTTTGACGTAAGAGATCTTTTCTGTCACCTTTGGCCAAGTCAGCCTAGGCTCCCTTTAAGCCTGATTCATCGTCGCTTTTTAGCCACTGACGCGAAATTGAAAAAGGTAGCATATCTACTTTTATCAAAAATCTAATCGTTAGAAACGTTTTCCTTGGATGCAATGGGGCTTTTTCTTTGCATGCACTGGAGCTGTTGCTTACTTCAGTATGTACGCTGTTACTAGTGGCAAAGAAAGTAAGCTGGGCCTTATTAACTTTGTACGCTATAGTCGTTGCCTCAATCGGAGGCATCTTTTGTCTTATAGTAGACTTATAAGTTTTTTTGGCACTTTACATGCGTGCGTTGAAGGCTATAGTGTATTACACCATGCTTCTCTCCTGCTAACCGAATTAACTTGCAATTTATATTTAGCGATGCAAAAGATTTCCTCCAACTTCGGTCAGATAGCGATCGGAGGGGATTTTCGGTTGCGTGATCAAACGGGGATGGAGGTTACTTTAGCTGATTTCAAAGGGAAGTGGGTTCTCGTCTATTTCGGATTCTGTCGGTGCCCTGATATTTGTCCTGAGCAACTCGAACGTCTTGTTGAAGTTCAGGAGCGGCTGGGTGATTATTTTTTTTATCCACTGGGATTGGCGTAGTGATGTGCTGTTGATCTTGTTCGTATTTTAAAGCCCTCTATGGCAAGGATAAGGACTTCGTACCTATCTTTATAACCGTGGATCCGGAGAGGGATACTCCCGAAGTTGTTGGAGAATATGTGAAGGGTGCGTCTATCCACTAATTGGAGTTTTTATGGTTTTACTAAAATTTTGCTTACTGAAGAGATATCTGTTAGCAACGTTAACTTTCACTATTTCTTGCTCTCTATACACTTACGGGTCTGTCTGGGGATTTCCTTCTCTGGTTAATGTGTCTAACTGTATTTTTTCATATCAGTAAAAAGGCTTCCGTTTAAAGGTTCATGCGTTCTTCCATGCCCATCTCGTTCAAATGTTGGGTGTATTTATGAAAAGTACTGTATTAGAGTGTCGGGGATACCCTTTTTGCATTATTGCGGTCGAGTTGAGCAATATGTTCGAGTTATACTGCCTTATAAATGATCTTTTATATACTTTAGCTTTTCTAATATGCATTAGTTAAGAATGGAAGATTTTGCTTCACAGACATCCATGTGGTAATGTTAGCTAGAATGAAAGTTTTCAGCTTATCTGATTGGTCAAATTCTTTGCATTACCATCAGCATACCATTGGCAGCACTTTTACTTGTTGCAGGATCCTGCTTCTTTCGTTGTGTTCCAAATTTACATTGATGAGCTTTTTGTTTTAATTCAATTCAACTTAGCCCCCCTTAAAAGTGTTTTAGATAGCTATTTGGAGCAGTAGTATTTCACGGAATGTTTGCCTGATTTTATGCGGATCGTAGGCGGGAGGATGTTTATAACCAATGGAGTTCTAATTATTTTGACCGATTGGAATGAATTTTCCTCGTTGCGTCGTTTTCTATGGAGAAGTAACACCATGTTAGCCTTCTCACACTTATATTAATGGCGTCATTATAAGAGGCATCAGCGTACACGAGTGGATTGTGTCCAACCTTTCCGACCGAAAACGCAGTTTTATTTTAACGGGATGTAGCCTGTTGTCTCGAACGCATATTGTAGAACACTTGGCGCTCGATGAGATTGACCTGTTTATTTTTTTAGAATTTTCACCAAAACTGGTCGGGCTTACGGGCTCGCCAGAGCAGATTCAGGTGACTGCAAAGCGCTACCGCATCTACTACAGCAAAGGACCACCGGATTGTGACGGTGACTACATTGTGAGTTATCTTCCTATCCCGATTGATAAACTTTCCTTCCGAGCAGCACTATAAGCGTCATCATTATCGGGATTTTAGCTCCTTTGATTGCGTAGCTAGGTTTCCATTCTCCTTACCTGATAGCGTTGTTTTGTTGTGGCACTTATTTTTCACAAACATAGGTGGATCACACTGTGGTGATGTACCTCCTGAATCCAATGGGTGAATTCGTGGAATTCTATGGTCAGGTGAAGCCGGTGCAAGAAATTGTCCGACGGATTATGGATCATATGAAAAAGTACATAGAATGATGAAGCGACTTCAGTGCCTTTTCATACATCCATTCATCAGTCTGCCCGGCCATCCACTCATTTTTTCTTAGCCAAATAGTGAAGTAAGACATTGTAGCTATTCCACCCCCCCCCCCCCCACCTCTCTGTCTTCGTATTTGTAATAACATACTTTCGCTTCTTCCTTACGTATGTGTAAAAATAAAATCCGTCCGCGCGCTTAATTTTTTCACACTGTTACAAGGGTCGCGAATTTTTTGTTTGAAATAATCAATTAGTTGAAGAATGTTTCCTGTGATGCTTGTTTCTTAACTTTATGCTTTCTTTACAAGTTGCGGATTTTGCTGTGAGGCATATTTTATTTAAATGCTCCATCATACATGGAAATAGGCTTTACGAGGTAGTGGTTGTTTGCCGGTGTGCTGAAAGGGCGTGACGTCGTAACGTATTCACTGACGTTGAGGCCCGCCTACATGCGTGGATTGCGGTGCGCTGTTATTGCGACTACTTCTAATTGGTGGCTGGGATTAGCCAATACGTCTGGTCCACATCAGGTCGTCCGGGCATTTAAAATCGTATATTCAAAAGTCACTACTTCGAGTTTAATTTCACAAATAGCTGGGTGAGTGATCGCTTTTCACTTACGCTGTCGGGGCTTTCCATTCGCTTAGCACCTTCGTAAATAGGGTCTCCAAAAGAAAATCGGCCACCTTCAGAAGTTTTGTAACTCGAGTATCATTATTTGACTAACTGTGATTATCCTCTGACCAAGAACACGCTATATCTATTGTTGTGTGCAGGGTCAATCTATTTGCCCTACAATCTGGTACTGCCATTCATCAAAAACAGGTGGTGGGTGTCACGTGTGCGTCGCTCTCAGCGAGTTTGCTTTGTACAGACAAGAACGCGCTGCTTACTAAATAAAAGCTGAGTAACTAACGTAAGCGTCTTACGATATTTAGTTCGTTGAATTAACCATTATTGCATTCCTAGTGCAATAACGTGCAATTTTGCTGCGGATCCCACCTTTGATCAGGGTCTTGCGTCTGTACGCAAGGAACCCAGTTTTGTCCATCCCCAATTCTATCTCATTCTTATTTCACAATCGTCCTTCATTAGCGTTACCATGAGTTGCGGCAC